CTACGAGATTTCATTTCATTACAAATATAAAATTATACATCCCGTTGAAAAACAATACTGCCATTTATTTCATTGCAATACCAAGTTTTTTTTACATACACAATTTCCAACAAATGTTTGCCGGTGAAAACAGAATTAATAAAATTCACGATACGCATCGAGCATGCCCCCGCAGAAAAATGTTTGATGATTTTCTCCTTTTGTTGTGGGCGCATGTTTAGTGCGCGTCATACTCTACGCGTAAATGCGATATTGAAATATTATTGTCGGGTATCTTTGTCGTACTTTTGAATACTGACGATTTCAAACGTACGTTTGACGTAATGCAAGGGCCAGATAAAGCGTCATTTACGTTGTTATTATGTGTCAGTCTTTATTTTGTTAAGTTAAAGATGAAACAGGTAAATAACTTTCTGTAATGAATTCCTTCAAAAAAGACTTGACATAAGAAAAAAACGTTTTATATCTATCGGTTCTACATCTGTAATCGTTTTAATTAAAATATGTATGATTAAGTTGTGATGCAATAGCATACCTATTGCATCACAACTTAATCATCTTGTAAATAGATGAAGCATTTTGAGCTTACATTAAAACGGGGAAATATTTGGCACACCAGATGGTTCCGTCATTGACAAACCCAAGGAAAATTATCGATATCGCCGTCGCGGAACCCTAAAAGACCGTCACGTAATAGTTCGTTTACTCCGTTACCTCCAACGCATAACCGCGCTATTAATACTATCTATAATCCATTCGTTCGCGTCTAACGTTCGGTGAGAATCACAATCTAATTTTAGTTGTGTCTGTATGTGTGTCAGGGGGCCGCGCTATACCCGCCCGCCCTAGAAGGGTCATCTGTTCGAGAGACACGGGCACGAAAGCTCGCAGCACAAAACGAACGCAAAGGACTAGGTACCGCTCCAGACTCCATTTCCTTCGTGGTCGCGTCTCCTTTGAACTTGGCGACTATGTCGACTCTTTTTTATTTTTATCCATGGCGCCTGCGTAGTTGCTCTTTATTTTATGGACTACAAAACACGAAATTGACGAGACACGATTACTAACGGGTAATGCTGTATTATTATAATATAACTGTCCTATAATAGTTACATTTTTATATTAGTTGAACAAGAAGACCTCATTTTACAAGTACGTCCCAAAACTGCTAACGTAAATAAACACATGTATGCGGGACATAATTATAGTAGTTTTTGGAATCAATGTATAAATTAAACATTCGATATACTTTCAAGACTGTTGTTCCCACAAAGAGTCTAAATAAGAAGGTCATATAGCGGTTTCAAAACACGTTTTCTTCAAAAAATAACCTGAAAATAGTTAATTAATTCTGCGAAAAAACGACCCACTACACTGGCAAGTCTTTAACATACTTTAAAGAATTATGTATTAAAGACATATGTATTGTATAATAGTAGCGGAGTTGAACATTAAATCAGGCGCAATAGAATAATGAAAGACAGTATTACGTAACGTACGGACATGTAATATTTGGCATCTTATGTCGGATACTGCGTACAACTCTTCCCCTTTGCATCTATTAGTGATTCATACGAGCGGTTCCATTAGACGCAATAAACCTGTCATCGCGAATACTGCCGGTGACTAAACTTGCCATTTATTCTTGTTTCGCAGAATAAAGAAAAGTCCGAGGGATATGAGCCGAGATAATTGATTAAGTGAGACCTCGACACCGTTAGTAGTGTACTTCCTTGGTTACGGGCTCGTTTCGAAATCGTACGGAGACGAGATTTTCATCAGTGCCATTTGACGGCTCGGAACATAATTGGGAACCCGTGCGTACGACAACTACGTCGGACTGCATTATTCCACCAAAGTGCAACGCTTTCGATTGAACCGCGCGACGGACTCGAGATCTTGTCTGTTTTAAGCTGTCTCTAGAAGCGCTGCCATTTTTTATGTGAGAAGATGGCGGGCGTGCTTGCGGTTCACGTGATGTTAAGTGATAACCGTCGCCCATTGAAATTTGCAACAACCGTAGGATTAACCATGCATTGCTAACTTGTAATAAACCCCGCTACCTCACTCACCAGATAAAACGAAATAATGTAACACTTCCACTTCTCGCCGGTCTTCTGTGAGGTCGTGGTTCTTAACCGGACTTGCCCATTCATGCAACAGCGAAGACTGTTGCATGGCCCTACCACGGGTAATTAGAAATCTAGTGTGAGGAAAGTTCGCTCTGAAATCGGGGTACATTTATGCACAAGGCAACGTATCCTGAGTGCCCATAGCCGTCTAACCGGGCCCTCGACTAATAGATGTGTACATTCCCAACTCATATTTACGAGCGTGCGGTTAGAGCGTCCGGTCTCTCCCCCGATTAATTATTGCCGGTTTAAAAGCGGCACTTTTAAATTGGTATTACCTATTCCACAAATTCTATTCAAATATCACAGGTTATGGACCTCTCGTAACCTGTGTTTATGCAATATTGGATTGTAAAGAGACACTACTTAAATGTTAAAATCATTATCGATATGCCAAGAAGTTATGATAAGTCTAATTTTATAACCTCATATACCCTAGATACAAGTAAATCATGCACGGTGCATTATGAATTTATAAAATCATAAAATATTATTTTCACAAATTGTTTCCGTAATATTTAACTTCCAACGTGTGATATCTGTAATATAACACGGTTATTTTAATCTACACATGCTTCAATTTGAAACGTTTCCGTCCATTCAAAGGAAGATGACAAAATGGCTTTATAATGGTCGCGGTAGTGATAAAGAAGTTGTGCTACTGTTGAAAAACCCGCACAACGCACATTTATTGCGAGAAAGTTGAATGCAACGCTGATATATCACCCACCAGCTTCTAGACAATAGCGTTATTTGCTAAACAGTGTGCTGGACAAGGTTTCATTGAAATTCCTATGTTAATACACTGAAGCAGTTTTTAATGAGTAAAATAACATCAACATAATAGGTATAAGATTATCGATCATCAAAGGCTATAAGTTTTGACAGACACGAACTTTTTTGACTTCAGTTTTTCCTTAATAGAAATTATTCACATGTGTAGGATTGAAATTGTAAAATTAATTGATGTTATCCTGCCTATTCCTCCGGTATTATACTTTTGATTACTATATTAGGCCTAAATTTGAGATAATTTGCATGGAAATTAATAACAATAAGATGTAAATTTGTAGTTACTGGGTAATTGGTTGTTTCTCCATTGCTCCACTATTAATAGAGATGTAAAAAAGTGTATAATACGCGATAGACGTCAAAGTAGTTTTTTTCCTCAATGTATTCTATTTTCTTTTGAGTAAGGAATCATTAAAATTAAATGTTTAAATGGTAACATAACAAAACCAAAAAAAATCCTTGTATCCACTAGTGAATAATGTATAGTAAACTGTAGGAAGGTTATTTAATATGAATATTTTTTAGTTTCTCTAATTAAGGACGTACGGAGAATAAGACTGCGAGGTTTTATGTTTGTGTCGCTATTTTGCCGAGACTGTGCATGTGAGTACAATCGAATATGTTCAATCGAACGTCAGACAGTATAACTGTCCTACTGTCCAAATTCCGAGTGTTGATGAATAGAATTTTAATTGCTATAAAACAATCACAGTATGGCCTCGGCCCTCGGGCAGGTGAGCATTGTTCCTGGCGGTCGTCCAAAATAAATGTAAAAATTAGCAGCAACGGGCCTTACAATGTCGCGCATTGTGGCATCAAGATCGTGGAAACTTATTCTTTCCACGAGCTGAGCCCGATGAAACTTTATATAGTCTACGATCTGAAAGCGCTAACATCAATAAAAAAAACTATTGTGGCCAGCTACAACCGCGGCACGGCAAACTTGTTACACGCTTGAAGTACTTGCAAAACGGACAAACAACCGCTTTGCAAAACGAGTTGCGAGGTATTACTTCTCGATTTCGTATGCGCGTTTTAGCCGGTCCTCACCTACGGTTAATTTGATAATTTAAGCATTTTATGAATAAGAAACTCTACCGCGTTTATTTTTGAATTTAAAGTATGTCCGCAAATAATAACTTTCAAAAACGATAGCGTGGCAATTCGTAAATAACTTTTTTAAATGAACATGTTCACTTACAACTTTTCTTTCAAACGAACTCATGGTTCAGAATGAGCGCAAAACGCTACTTCGAATTATTATTAACTTCCTTTAAAGTCCTCTTACTGACTTCAGACGATCAGCATTTACCCGTCCGATTGCATTAAAATAAAGTCATGATAAATCTCCGTGCATTAACATGATAATAGACAACCTTGGGGAGGGCAAGGTCGCACGGAAACTTTCGTGTGTGAACGAGCCCTATGTTCGCGCCGCTTCCCGCCATGAAGGCCAAGTCGGTAAGACTTTCTCAAAAATAAGATAATTATCTATTGGACCGGTTCCGAACTTGTCTCGATTTACTTTGATGGTGTTAATATAAAATTTTTGTGTTGGCAAAAATATTAAATACTTATATAGATTTATATGTATTGTATACTAGCCATACCCGGGACTTCATCCTCATTGTTTGTTATTCAAGGAAATACACCTCTCTGAACACGTAGTGCTTATAAAAATCGTTGTTTCTTAAAGTAAATAGTGACTATTAACTAAGTGCTATTTTAATAACTTTCATTTACTTATTGAAGATAAAACTTACAAGAACTAACCGAAATCTATCGAGTGATTTTTCCATGATGCGCGCACAACGCAGACATAAAAACGTAAATAAGTAATCACAAAAAACGACTATCGAAATCATACTACCAAAACTAGGTCATGGAAAAAGAAAAGTATTGTTCAAACGAATAAATGTTTTAATTGACGCACCCCGTATTTATGCAAAATAAAACAAATTCATTTCAAAGCGAACGAGCAGTTCGCGCGCATTCAGTTTTGCTGCAATTGTTAATTAATTTCGTGGCGGTCAAAATCACCGGGCCGGTTAGCAGTTTCCGTGCGTGCCGACGCTAGACCAACCTCGTCCTTCCAGAAACATCTTGGGTCACTAGCTCATCACGCACCCCGGGCAGTTGCCACCGCGCACGCGGACCACATCGCGAGAACCGCACATATCGAACTCCAGCCTTCCCCGATAAGACACGAACAAACGTATGGACGTGACGTGTGTTCAGAGGCGAGCTGTATGTTGGACTGGCGTTTCGCTCGGCGGTCGGCACCCGGACGATCTCATTGGCGATGTTCGGCCAAAAGCGGAGCATATTAGGCGCGTTATTTATTCAAACTTACAAATTCTGATCATTAATCAGATCATTCTGATCAATTCAGAGAGTTTAACAATCCTTTTGGCAACTCAAACAACATTTGAAAATCCATTTGACAGCTGATTAGTTAACTTCTACGATGATCAGTGTTTCAGAAACCGGGCTTTAATATGTTAAACTTAATCCTGCTCCAAGTTGCACTTTACAACACAAAAATCTATCAAAATTATTGAGTATTTGATGTCAGTAAATGATTCATAAACACAAAACTAGCTAGAAATTTACTATTTTGCCGTTGAATGACCTATTTCACCATAAGACAAAGTGTGAATCGTTATCTATATACCATGAAAAAATTTTTTACCTCCTTATGGTGCAACAGTTAATTTAATTATTTTGTTCGTTGGTAACATTAGAAACAACATTTTACAAAAATAAATAACTTCCTATTTACACAAAAATTGTGCACCTCGAAAGATGGTTTCAAGAAAAAAACACGCCGGTGAGCAACTTTTTACAAAATACTGAAGGAAATCTACAAGGGGCTAATTTATGATTAATAGAGTTTATAAACGATACTACGAATTACAGTATAAAAACGTAACCGAAGTATGTATGAACGTTTATGCCAATAAATGAATTACGTAATGTTACATTATGTTTATACGTATGCACGTACTCAACTCAAAGGAGAGGTCCTACATAAACCATCATATACAGACTGAAGCAAACATCATTACTTAATCAGCATGATTATGAAAAATACAAGTACACTGTAGTCGAGCGTCAGAAAGCTCTTAACTTATTTGTAATAACACAAAATATGACAAAGGAGTCTTTGCCTTTTTTAACCACTTTCTTTTTTAAAAAGTTTAGAGAACGTTCCTCTTCTAGATTGCCAAAAAATATTCAGGAAGCGAGATGAAATTGACATAGTAGACGGCTTAGCAACTTAGTGGACATATTTATGTCGTGTTACTAATAAGGCGTCACTAAACCCGAGCAGCTATTAACGCGCGCGGCTCTATGCGTCTAGTGCTGTACCGAAAGCTATGTGTCGCGAAGTGAAGGTACACTTCGGACATAATATCCGTTAGTTACCTATGTAAATATGATGCGGTGTACCCAAATGCGGCGAAACCAAAAAAGGAGGGTTATGGGTTTGAACTTTATTTATGTAAGTCCCTCACTGTGTTCCTTCGTAACTACTAAACTGAATCGACTTTGAGAAATAATGTAGTTAGTTGTATTGTAATAGGACTCTTGTTGATATTCATAAATATTTCCAAAGTGATAATTCATTGTCCGACGAGCTACTAGCAACCCATGTTCAAATCATTTATATTTAATTTTTAGATGCAATTTTAAGTTCCAAATTAGCATTTGGTCAATGATTCTAAATTCAAACTAATGATAATTTTTTTTTTTTTTAATTTGAAGTCTGATATGGTCCAAAAAGTTCAGTACTCTTAGTGCAGCAGTCTGTCGGATGTGAACACATGTTGGGATAATTTATATACTTGCTAATACTATATCCGGAAAAAATGACTATTATTTCACCAAGTAACGAACGAAGTAAGCTTCGATATTTTCAAATCAATACGTGTTCAATATATTAACATAGAGCAACGTAAAATTAAAACCAAAAGAATGAACGTTTCGTAACATAAAGTAGCGGATATAAAATATTATATTAATATATTTTATATCCGCTACCGAGCTTCAGGAATGAACACACATTTAAATGTGATAAGAAAATTAAGGATCAACCGAAATTCTAATAGAAGGCAGTCGTTCCGTCTTTTTAGGGTTCCGTACACAAAGGGTAAAAGGGAGGTATTACTAAACTTCGCTGTCTGTCTGTCCGTCTGTCACCAGGCGGTATCTCATGAACCGCGATAGAAAAACAGTTGAAAATTTAATAGACGATGTATTTCTGATGTCGACAAATGCTAAAAAATGTAATAAAAATATGGGGCTTCTATACAACAGACATAATTCTTTTATTGCAGATAATTGTACGGAACCCTTCGTGCGCGAGTCCTACTCGCACTTGGCCGGTTTTATTACTTGAATATGAGTAATCTTTTTAGCTGTAGTTGGCGGCCCACGCAGCAACTGCTTTTTGCTGCTGAAGTACCGCGTTCTCACAGAAGACCGGAAAGTAGGAAGACGTTTCGTCTGGTGAGTGAGGTAACCGGTGCCTCAATTTTGATGGTTGTTGTAGACGTCCATCGGCGGCTATAATCGCTTACCATGTGGACCACCTGCTCGCTTGCCAAATTTTCATATAAAAAAATACTACCCGCTTTTCACCTGCCCACGTTTTACACTAATAAGGTCACACGCTCGTCAAAATTACCCATCACTCGAATAGTACAGAATAAGGAATAGTTACATTTACTTCGAGTGCATCGACACGGGAACTCATGTATGATGAATGATGTTCGCCTTAATTACTCCATAGTTCTCGCCATGAAAGAGACCCAATTTGATCTTAACTGGCATCTTAATAAACTGCAAACTACGGAATCGCCAGCAATAGTTAGCTGTGCGTCTCGGTCTGTCGCTCCCGGGCAGTATGCGTATACATATGCATCGGTTGGAAACCTGACTTTCTTCACACTAAGAACGCACGTTAGAATTTTGCACATCTTTTGTTTGCGCGCAACCATGCGTGTGCGACGCTATTTAAATTTGAGATAGTGGAGTGCCTATGCCTGAGTGCAACGTAAATATGACTATCATTAAGGCATATAGCTATTTTGTATGCTCTATATATTTGTGTCCTACAAAATATTTGTTATATCAAATGCGATTTGTTAATCGTGGTAGGACCACACAACGGTCGCTGTTGCACGAATGGGCAGGCCGTCCGGGGAAATACCACGCCCCACAGAAGACCTGCGTGACATGGAATTGTTACACTTCTGCCTTTCGTCTAGTGAGTTAGGTAATGGGAGCCCACTTTATTAAAAGGTAACGTATCTGCAAGCTACGGGTGTTGCAAACGTCAGGCTCACTTTCCATCTTCACACACAAAAAAAAAACAATTATTACACATTTATTATTATCATTCACCACATATAATTCACTCACATTGCGGGATGCCTATATGCAAATAAAATAAATGGCAGAGAAAAGTGCCCACGTCCAGCAAATACTAGATGTACGGGGTACACCATTAAACATCTATTATTTATCGCCATTGACGTATAAATAAACTTTGTATTTAATGACAAGTTTCTTCAATAATTTATTAACATGCCTAACAAGATAAACTTAAAACTAGCCAAGTTGATGTGAGCACATAGTATAGTGGGTGGTGAAACACACTAATTCGATTTCGAAACCTTTCAAAACTATTCTACCAGCGTTTTAATGGTCATAAGAAAAATTTAGCAACCTTCTGTCCGATTTCACAGTCGCTATTGACAGTAGTATATTATATTCCATCGCTACATTGCATAATTATGTTTTTTTTTCTCAGAAATTCGTGAGTTATACATAAAAATCAAATCACCACATACTGTATCATTTGTGCTTTCAATGGAATAAGACCCAGAATCTCTTTGGAACGTTTTTATGAGGCCGATATATAATTGAGGTCTTCCAAATTAAAATATAAACTGTAACATACATGTAAAACTCTCAACATTTGTACTAAAGTGAGTAACTAGAGGTCATCTTGTAAAAATAAAATAATTGTTAAATTCATACTAACTCAGTACATAAATAAGGGCAGTAGTGCCTTATATCAAGTCACGTTAAAAGTTAACAAGCTTGGATCAAGATTTTTTTTATGATCACGACTTTTTTTTCATTCTACGTATAAGAGGAAAGTTGATCTACTAAGTTAAGGCGATTAAGAAACATCGGGTTACAAATGAACGGAGTAAAAAGTTGGTAAACGTTAAAGAATTTTATTTGGAAAGCAGAACAGATTCTAAATAAAAGTAATTTATTTAGAATCAGTTAGTAGTTTAGTTAATACATTAAAATTATCTATTTACCTATTATAGTTATCTATTATTAACATTAATTATCTATTTAACCATTATAATTCATTCTTGATTTTGTCGTGCTGTACGATATTATATTTATTATTATTTGATTAAATAATAATAAATAAAATTTCGTACAATTTTAATTTCTGAACGCAAGGGATAAAATATAAAACGACGATGTGTTGTGAAAGCAGTCATTAATATTTCAAATACTAATTTAAATAAATACACTATAATATGTATTCACGTCCTAACTAAATAAAAAAAAGTTGAAACTCTGTGTACAGATAATTTATTCAAAGATCATTCGCCTTTATCATTGGAGAAATTCACAGATAATAAAAAGGAAAAATGCGCAGAGAACGTTCGCATGCAAAACCGCCGCGGGGGCAACGTCGCATTTGCCGCGCTAGCGCACGCAGCGGCACCGCTGCACCGTTAACGTGAGCGTTAACGTTACACCGTACACGGCTACGCGATTATGAATATGCATTCGACGGCCCCGTAACCAATTTCGAAGCAACCAAACGCAAACCGGTTACGTTTCGCCGTTTCACGTTTGAGCCCGTAATGAACCCTTTATGTAAACCATTGCGAACGCGCACGCGCGCTGTGCGGCACGGAATCTTTCTTTCAAACGTTGTCCTTTTTAATATTAAACCTTCGCGTCTATATCTATTTCCGACATAGTAAACGCTACTCGAAGACGTTTTGGGTATTTAAATAGTTGCCATTACGATAATTCATTGGTTTGAGCTTCTGCGAAAATTGTACCGAACGTATCGCTATATATTGACTGAGACTATATTATTAAGTTTACTTCAAAGACCCAAATCACACCGAGACTCCACAGTAAACCGGTCTAAACGAATAGTTGCGAATTGCATATGCAAGTCACGTAGAATAACAATCCCAGCTACCTGTCCAAAGGACAAGGCATTCGAGAATAAATGCCAAATAAAAGGTCAACTATGTAAAGCTGAATTCGTG